CTAATTTCTAGTGGGACATTGGGTTTGTTCTATAACAATGCTTTCAGTTTCAAAGCCAATGATGGCATATGCTCCATTTCTCCCAATAAATGACAATGTTGGTGATACGTTCTTTCCCTCCAGACTGCTTTGCACAGTCCTCCTGTCTGCTGGTCCTTAAAACTCACAAACTGGTCTCCTTGTGTACGTCAGGTATGGCCTCTATTTGGATTTTGAAAGTTAAGTTCAAAACAGTATTCTTGTTTAGCTTTCATTATTTTTGTATGGTTGGGTCAGCTGAAGGCAGTCAGCCTCACGGATCTCCTTTCTGAAGCTAGAGCCCAGCGTGGAGAGGTGGTGGACAGGATGGGCGTGTTTCAGATTGAGATCCTGAGGTTTCGGGGCATGCTTCCTAGGCCCCCAACACTGGCGGTAGTTACACTGGAGTGGCACACCTAGGTGTCTCCTCAGGAGGGTTTGTGGAGTGTAAAGATAGGTATGAGTGATGCCTACCTGTAGTGTATAAACTCTGCGAAGGTGGCCAAATACCCCCTTCTGTAGTCTGTGGAAGTTTGAATGTGAAGCTCAGCACTTTCCTGCACTCTGGTTATCTGGGATAGAATGGAATCTTGTTATGAAGTAAACATGTTTTCTGGAAGCAATAGAAAGTCATTTTTTTTGCACGTGGAATTGAAGTCAGATAGTTTTAAAATTATGTATTAAAATATATAAAATATACGGCGTGAACATGACTGGTAATGTAATCATTTGGTCTCACTTTTTGCATTGCCTTTTGGTCTTGATTCCCTTGGCCCCAGTGAAATTCCACACTTGTCCCGGAACTTTTCTGCCTGTCCTTAAGCATTTTGCAGATAACTTTAAGCACTAAACATATCCTTCATAGGTTTAATTAACAGTCTAAGTTAGAATTCTTCTCCCTCTCCCTATCTGGAGCCTGTACAGCCTAGAAGGTGAGAGTAGCTTGGAGTATGGTGTGTTTCCCTGTTTTCCTACTCTCTGTACTCCTCCCTATTCTTGGCCCGATTCTAGACACCTCTAAGAGGCCTCACACCTTCGCCTGAGCACCCTGTCACCCCCAGGAGGGCAGCACTTAGCTAGCTGTGCCATCAAGGCAGATGGTCAGCCCCACAGTCAAACTTCTGGATTTTTCCAGACAAAAGCCAGGTCCCAAATCACTGTGCTCCTCGGCCAAAAAAGTTACATTGAAAACCCAAAGCCTCTGAAACTTCCCACCTCAATCAGGGTTGTGGTGAAGGACCAACACCCCACCCCCCACCCCAGCTGGGGCTGGTGGAGCTCACAGAACATTCTCCACCGGATCCCTTCTCCTCCCTGCTCTCATGGGCTTCATATTCTTATGCTAGAGTAACCTCCAGATTCATGAAGCCCAGTGGAGAGGGGTAAAAGGAGAGCTCCTACTATAGAAGAATTTCGGTCCTAAGTGGCATCAGGATGTCACCATCGCTCAGCTGCTCCGCAACAGCTGGTGCCAGCAGTAAGACTGGTCTCATCCCTTCACAGGATTTCAAGGAAATGGTGCCATGGTGAGGAATGCCTGTCAGGCTACACCCTGCAAGGTTCCCTTGAACTCAACAATAGTGGGACACAGTGAGCCTTCTTGAACCTTGGAGAGAGACACTGGGGAACACCTGTGAAGTGTTCTTACCAAAAATGCTTAGCTCAATCTGATCTCGATTAGACTGAGGTTGGGGGCATTCTCCAAAATAACTCCCAGGGTGCTTTGTTTGTTTGGTCAAAGAGAACATAGGGTAGAGAAATCATTTAAGATGAAAAGAGATAGAACAGTCAGAGCAAGAAATCCTATACAACACCATAGGAATCTTATTTTCTCCCTCTCCTGTTTCAGTGCTGGGGTTTGAAGGCAGGGTCTCATGCATGCTAGCCAAGGGCTCTACTCAACGACACTCCACTGCATCCGTCTCACTCATGGGGGGATTTTCAGTCAAACTGTGGTTCTGCTTCCTTCTCAAGAAAACTTAAAACAAAACAATCCAAACAAAAACCAATACAAACAAATCCCATAAAGGAAATGGAGGAAATAGGAACACGCCTCGAGTGCTATGTTACTGGAGTGTATTGATGTCTTGCGTGTGATGCCTGTGGCATTGTCATATGAGGACTGCTTGCAGTGAGAAGATTCCAGAGAAAGCATTCATGTCTGACATGTTCACAGTGAGCATGAACGGACAAAGCCCATAGCGGCTTCATACACACAGGAGAAGCATAGAATGAACTGCGTGTTCATTCTTCTGACTTTTCTGTAATTTTTAACTTTCTCAAAAAGTTGGGGGAAGAAAAAAATCATGGAACCAGCTTTCAACCTTTTCCTATAAAAAATGTAGAAATGGCTTGTCCCCTCCTTCTGATATTTTGACTGTGTCTTCAGACCTAGATGAAACTCTTGGTGTGGGAGCTTTTTCTATATATGTGTTGCTTTTATTGGTTAATGAATAAAGCTGTTTCTGCCAGTGGCTTAGCAGAATAGAGCTAGGTGGGAAAACTAAACTGAATGCTTGGAGAAGAAAGGCAGAGTCAGTGAGAAGCCATGTAGCTGCCAGAGGAGAAAGATGCAAGATGCAAGCTGGAACCTTGCTGGTAGGCCTCGATCCTTGTGGTAAAATGTACAATAAGAGAAATGAGTTAATTTAAGATATAAGAGTAATTCAGAAATACAATTAAGCTATTGGCCAAACCGTATTGCAAATAATATAGTTTCTGTTTGATTATTTCGTGGTTTGGCAGCCAGGAATGAACAAGTGGCCTCTGCCTACAAACTGACTTCATCTTATGTATAGAAAAATCTTTGAAACATAAGCATATGTAACAACAATAAGCACCTTGAAATATTTATGTTGGATATTACAGTTTCTAGGACGTTTCCATTTAAATAAACACAGTTCTTCACAACGATGTTGGGAAGAGAATGTGATTTTTCCATTCTTCCTATTTATAAATGAGAATCGGAGAGGAGGTCTAAGCCACTCATCCAGATACACATGGGCACCTAAGCCCTCTTACTGTGTCTTCTCAGCATACTATAAACACCCAGAAACTTAGCAAAACAACTCACTCCCTTATTCTTTTTGTACAGAAAATAAGAAAGGGATCGTGAGGTATTTGCTAATCCCATTGCCACTGCGGGGGAATTACAGATTCGGGGCTGTGCACGCGCCCCTGCTCACCCCATTAAACATGCATGCTGTTGGAACCCTTAGAGGCAATGCCACTAAGATATGCAGCCCCCACGTGGGCAGGCTAGAGCACCAGCATGGGTGACGTTTAGTCTCCAGTCCTGTGCATGCCGCTGCAGATCTGCAGGGGTGCAACAAGGAACCTCTAGAAATGTATTCTCCTGAGAGTGAGTCAGTGTGTTCCTCAGAATACTGAGTGAAATCCTGTCACGTCTCCAGATGTTTCTCAGGGAACTGACATCTCTCAGAAGAAAGGGCACATGAGTCACAGGAGAACACGGTTCTGTCTTCACCTGACAGCTGGGACAAGCAGACGCCTTCTGTCTCCCTCCACCCCGCCCCCCTCTCTCTCCATCTCTGTAGTGGAAAACAGCTTAAGGAGAAGAGAGGAGGAACAAAAAGACACCAACATTTAAACCTGGTGGGGTCCACAGCTAGAGAAGACATGTAGCCCACCTTGTTTCTTTTCCTGAATGTTCCATTAGGGGCTGAATCGCTCTATTTTTACAACTGAATAAAGATGGAGAGAAAAAAGAGGTAGAAACGGGAGAGAAGATATAGGAAGTTGTTAAGTGGCACAGAATATACTCATGCCCTTTCTCAAGATCATCCATTCCCATCAAGATTTTACAGAATGACATTAGGAATCTGCCCTCTAACCGTAGCACTGTACGACTAAGAACTGGACTTTAGGAAGTAGTTTACATTAGCTCCCCGCAAATACCCTTCAGTGCTGGCAACCTTATCTCTTCAGTATCCTGTAATTCTTCTGAAGCTACCTTCTCACACCACAGATCTGGAAAAACAGTGTTAGCCAGTGATCCAGGTACAAAACTCTTCGGAGCTCTCTTAACTCTAGGGCACTTTTCACCAGACTTTGTGTGAAGTAGCATACCAGCCATCCAATGTGAACTCTGTACCGTGACCTTATTGCATGCTCTCCAGGAAGAACAAACAAGGATTGAATGATACTAGGTGGAAAGCTAGCAGCCTGGGAGATGGAGGCAGAATTCACAAAACAGGATGAGTGACAGGCTCTCTAACAGGCCCAAACATTACAAACTTGACAACAGAGGGTCTTGCCCTTCTCCCCCTTTCTCTTGCTAAACCATTAGATTAGATCCTTAAAGCTAGCCCCCAAGGTCTGTTCCCTTATTTGACCACATCCTTATACCTGACCAAATTCCAGGGTCCAACAATCAAAACATCAAGGTCCAGCAATTGAAATTCATTATTTGACTACATTGGCTTACGTGTCCAATCAGGATTTTCCAGCTCATTCTAGCATGCCTCCCCATCTTTATCTTTAAAAACCACCATTGTAGAGCATGCCTTTGCCCTATCCAGAAACACCCCCACCCAGGGAAGGACAAATAAACCTTCTTTGTGCTGAGAATTTGGTGTCTGGGTGTGTGCTGTGCAGACTCTGAGGCCCCCTTAAAATTGGTAACTGCTGTGTGATAGTAGTCAAGTAACTAGTAGCCAAGTAACTAGTAGTCAAGTGATTGTTGGTAGTAACTACTAATTTAGTAGCCAAGGCATAGAAAGAAAAGAATGAGGATATGTACTATTCATAACAAATTTGTTTTAATTTTTAAAATTATTTTTATTTTATGTATGTGAGTGTTTCGCCTGCATGTATGTACATGCGCCACATGTGTCCTGGTTTTCACAGAGACCAGACGAGAACACCAGGTGCCCTGGAGCTGGAGTGACTGACGTTTGTAAGCCACCATGCAAGTGTCGGGAACTGAACCCGTGTCCTCTGCAAGGGCAGCAGGTGAGCCACTGAGCTGTCCTTCTAGTCACCGGAGTGTGCTTTTGAAATCTGAGTACAAATGAAACATAAGAAGATCCTCAGTTAGCTGTCAACTGGCCTCCGTTCCAGCCTTGACCGTGCATTGCATAAGACCTGCAAACAGTCCTGAGGCATTTGCAGCAGATGGGTGAACCGCAGCTATTGGCCAGCTGACTTGTCCCTGTGGGTTTCCAAACTCCAAGCCCTAACCCAGGTGCTCTACCAAATGCTATTGTTCAAATCTCACATCTGATCCCTACAGCCACATCACTGCGAGGAAGGCCAAGGAGGAAGAGAGAGAGAGAGAAAAGACCCCAGGGCCTCTGAGTAGCCTAAGATTTGGGCATCTGGGTCTTTCCACGTTTCAGTCCTAATTGCTTCAGCCATCCCTGTCGGCTCTCTGTTTCCTCTTGTGCTATATTTGAATGATTTGACAAATGATGTGATTCACGCATTCTCTTCATTTGTTTATATGTGTGGTATGTGAAAGTTTGCAAATGTATGTGTGTGAGGTTATAAGTGGAGGCCAGAGAAAGACGTCTGGTGTCCCTGTTCTATCAGTCTCCCTGCGTTACTCCTCCTCACGAACGTGAACCTCATCAGTGTGATCAGGGTAGCCAGCTCCTGGGACCTGCCTGTCTTCGCCCCTCCAGATCCTGGAGTTACAGGCATGCGCGGTCATAGCTGACTTTTGTGTGGTTGCTGGGAATTTGAACTGTGGTTCTTGTGCTTGTGTCATGAGTACTCTTGCCCATGGAGCCATCTCTCCAGCCCCAATGTAACGTTCTTAGTTATTATCGGTCTGCAAAGCAAGCAGGAATTTGACTTTTATAAGGGCAGGATTTTTGTCAGATTTATTAACTTCTAGTTCTCCTAGGTGCTCAGAAAAGTGCTTGGCATATGGTAGGTATTCAGAAACTATCAACTAAGAATGAACTGATCTTCTATGTCTTTTTTTTTTTTTTTTTTTTTTTGTAGATAGCTTTGAAAACAGCTGTTGGCACAAGACCATCTTTTAGACTGAAGCCTGGAAAAAATCTATTATTAAGTTAATGCAGTACAATATTCCAAGGAGAAAACAAATAGCTTACAAGATAATTATATCAGCACCTCTGGCTTGACACTTTCTTGACCTCAAAGACCCTGTTTAGCCCAGTAACTTGGACTTTTTGGATTTTCATCACGTTATAATTTCAAGGCCTTGGACATTTCCCATTGTTACCACTGAGAAGAGAGACCCAGGAGGGTGAGCTATACGTGAGTGTATTAAATGGTGCATGCTACAGATAAGGCTTGTGCTTCTTTGCCTTCGCTGCGAGCGAGGTGGTAAACCCACATTGTTAACTCATTCCCAAGGTACTTGGATTTTATGCATTTTCACTTTCAAGTGAGGAACTGAGCCTGCCTAGGGACAGTAGCCTGCTTCAGTGTAGCGTGACCACTGAGAAAGCCTGGGTTTGCAATTGTCTCTTCTGCCTGTCTCCCTTGCTGACACGCTGCTCCAATGAGGAGTCCCATCACAGACCATAGAGGGAAAGAACTTGGAGTGAGCGCCACCTCTTCCCGTTGCTGGTTCTCTATTTTAGCTTACGTTACTGAAATCAGTAAGAGTGGACATATTGATTTGGTGGAGGAGATTTCAAGACAGAGTGACATTTATTCTGTAGCACGGTTATTGCCAGCTGCCTTGAGTCAGGCTTACAATGTGAGTCAGGGCAAAAGCAGGTAGAATTGTGTAAAAAGTAATTCACTGGGCCTGACAATGTACAGTTTGACATATATGTACTCAAAGCTGCAGACAAATCAAATATAGACAAAGGGTTCAGAAATTAGTACCATTAACAAAAGCAAAACAGTTTGTACAGGGGAAATAGAAAGATGTCTGGTGGGCAAGATCTCATCCGTTGATGCCTCCAGGGTATAAAAATACAAACGCATTTGAAGGACTTTCTTTTGAAAGGATGCCCGAAAAGAGAGAGTAGCTAGGGTGCTTTGGTGGAAACAGGGAAGTGTTTTTCTACATTCAACATCAAAGTCCTACCAGGCCTCTACAGCCATGGTCCAATGCGGCCTGATTTCTTCTCAGGCTTGATGTAGAACTTTGCATCATCCACATGATACTGGCTTTTCAGGCACATGGAACACAAGAATTAGAAGATTTTAAAGAAAAGTCTGGGAGGCCAGGCTGTGTGTGTGTGTGTGTGTGTGTGTGTGTGTGTGTGTGTAGGATTGGACTACCTATGGGGAGTCCCTGAGTAGGCTGTGCACAAAGCTGTCAGAGTAGAGCGAGTTGAATTAGAGACCCCAGGAGCTATGGGATGTCTGCTGAGGAAGTCTGTAGTGAATGAGTGGAGCCATCTCAGGAGGGAGGCTATGTGTGTGGCAGGCATCACAGAGGTGGGTTACTCAAGTGCACCGCAACTCAAATGATGTCATCTGCTTCCCCGCCTTGCTGGACATGGAACTATAGGACTTCATCTTTCCCTCCTCGTTTTTTTTTTTTTTTTTTTATCTTGCTTTTGTCCAGCTTTTCCTCATGTTTCCCTCTCCTACCTTGTGTGCTGGAAATGTTTACTCTGGCCATTGCACATGGGAAGTATGTAATAGATTTTACTTTTAGAGGATCTCACAGATGAGAGACTGACTTCAGAATCAATAGAATCTTTGGATTTTGAACTTTTAAACAGAAGGAGGACTATTAAGACTTAGGGGGGAGGTCCTTGGAGCTGGGCTGATTGCTTTTGTAAGATGAGAGCCTCTGGTGGGTCAAGAGCAGCATCTAAACTATTACCCACAGGCTTATATTCTGAACATTTGTAACTGTCTGGTGGCTGTATTTGGGGAGGTTGTGGAACTTTAGGAAGCCTGTCTGCTGGAAGTCACTGGGGAGCTTATAGCCTGGCTCCCAGGTCTGGCCCGTCTCTGGTTCCTGGGATGTCAGAGAGAGAGAGAGAGCAGCCTCTGTTGCAAGCTTGCTGTAATGCCTTCACTATGGTAATGGGCTGAAATGACTCTTGGAACTCACTCCAAACAGCTTGTGTTGTTTCTGCTGAGCATCGTAGTCAGAGCAACACAAAGGGGTTGGTACCCCAGGCTTCTGTCGGAGTGTGAAGAGTTTCTACTACTGTGGTCAATAATGGTAGTTTTTCCCCATTCAAAAGCTCTTGAGCGTTTGAAATGTGTAGGTCCAAATTATGGTGTGCACTGTGGATTTTAAAGACTTAGGAGGAAAAGAGTAAATTAAATTATCATGTTAAAATTACTGCATGTTGAAGCAGTAAATTTTATATATGTGGTTAAGATAATATTGTAATGAAACCCATCTGTTTATTTCATTTTTTTAGTGTGGTTAATAAATAGTTTTATTTGCTTAGCTGTCTTGTTTTATATGTTTCTGGGGCAGCATCATCATATAGCTTGTGGAGGGTTTCTTCTTTCTATTATAAATTTTTGGGGACAAGGTGGGGGTATCCATCAGGGTAATAATGAAAGTTAAAGCCAGATGCACGGAATAGTCATGGCTAAATGACATATGTAAATTCAGGTGATTATGTTTTTATTCTAAAAACTTTACTTTGTAAGATAAAATACCTGGGTACAGTATTTTGGAACTGATAAAATATTGACAATCCAGGCTGTTGACATGTTTCCTATGGTCTCTTATTTTCTGAGTTGTCATAGATATCCTAGATCCCCAAATATCCATAGATTCCCGCTTGCATGTAACAACAGTGAAAAGCATGACTTAGGAAGAAGCAAGCACTTACAGAATTTGCTGTTTGATGAATACTGTGGGGATTAATGAGACGAACTCTGGTCTTACCCCTCCTATCTGAAACAAAGACATCTAGGTTGCTGTCTGCCTGTGCTGTTCGGCAAGAAGGAGAAAATGAACAGTGTGAACAGTAATTAGTATAGACATAATATCCAACCATGCAGGAATTCTCGGAGATTAGTTTTGGCAATGAGTTCTCAATGAAAGGACTTGGTCTCAAGCATGCCTTAAAATTAAGTATTTATTAAAATGTAATTTAACTTGAGAAATCATCATATTCTGTCCGTAATTTTAAGATCTCTATATGAAAGTGCTCTTCTTCTGCTATTATTCACAAGTGGCCCACACTTATCCCCATTTCGCCACTATAGTGGCACCCAATGGCTTTCTTCCCCTATAATCACCCTGCCATTGGCCATAGCAGAGAAACAACCCCAAACTCTCCTAGCACGGGACACCGTGTCTCTGTCAATCCATGCGCAGCGTGACTTAAGTTGCCTTGAACCTTCTCCTATGACCAGCTTTGGAGAAGACATGGAAATGCATCCTGCCTTACGGAGTGAAAGGATTAACAGTTGGGGTTCTGTAGAGACGAGGAGCTCTCAGTGAGCCCACGAGGAGGGATGCATTATTATAAGAAGGAGACATGAGCACCGGGTGGTGGTGGCGCACGATAATCCCAGTACTTGGGAGGCAGAGGCAGGTGGATCTCTGGGAGTTCGAGGCCAGCCTGGTCTACAAGAGCTAGTTCTAGGATAGGCTCCAAAGCTACAGAGAAACCCTGTCTTGAAAACAAAAAAAAAGGAGACATGAAATGTGGGGCTAAATTTTCTCCTCCGCTTGGAAAACATCCACCGATGCCAGATAGTATAGCATGGACAGATGGCGCGGCAGCTGCCGTGAAGGAAAAGTGCCTTACTACTAGGTGAACCATGAAAAACAATGAGAAGGACGGAAGGAAAAGCACACCAGTCCCCTCTGCTGTCACAGCTTCCCGTCACCACAAACTCTCATTGTATTCCATCAGGTGGCAGACTGGTTTCTCCACTGACTGAACATTTGGAATTTGCCACCACTCTCTTTGACAGAACTTGCTTTTTGTCTTTGGATTTTTCTGGCAGGACTGGAAGCAGCGATGGGTAGCAATGACTAACAGGATACACAGTGCCCATATATGGTAGAGAAGGTGCCAAGACGGATCCTTTTCTGGCTCAATTGGTTGCAGTTTGATTGCAGAAATTGGCCAGACCTCATCTTGGTTTATTTTAGATACGCCTCCAATTAACACTGATTCATGCTACAGATCACATAAATGGGGATGGCATTTTAATCAGATTTAAATGGAGGTTATTTAAAGTTGTGGCTTAGAGACAGTCGAAGTGGGCACACGCATGATCTTGATATTCATGCAGTTCGTGCCCAGTGTTCCGTGTTGGTTGTTGGAGTCCACTAACTTGAGTGTTCAGCAGTAATGAAGGGCTAGTGGTGTCATGGCTGGGTTGCCTCAGGAGGGAAAAGCTTCCGCGTCTTCAGTTTAAAAGAGATGCCCCAACTCAATAGATTTGGAAAGGAACGGTTAAACGTACGAAGACCTACAAATGCTAGGCCTCGTAGTTTTGATACATATGCAATTAAACAGTATCTGTTTGGCAATTACTGTTGTATAAGTAAAGCGAATAGAAATGGGTTCAACTAAGTTGTGATGTCCTGAGACAATAAAAGGATGTGAACGATATTAAAGATTGTTTTTGTTTTTCCAGCTATTTTTTAAAGAAATTGGCTGGGTGAATTTCCGAATATGTTTCTGCCATTTTGTCTAGAGGAGTTGAATAAAGTCTGTAGAGTTACATTAACAGTCACCGAAGGGTTGCAAGGGTAGTTTTGGTAAGACACAACCTGTCTCTTAGGCATTGTTTTAAGAAACACTAGTCATCCTCCAAGGTAGCCTCCTTGTGTGTGGACGACTTTTACTGAAGCACATACACAGGATTTACGATCACCGTCATCATGATTCTTAACATAGACTCTAGAAGCAACTCAGGTCTGTCCCCATCCCCGCATTTGAGGAGCTAATGTCCCAATTCACCAGGCAGTCCTTGGCTCTCTATTTCCTTTTTCTCTCTATTTCCCCAAACAGCACTGGCCTCTGTTAGAATAAAGCAGAAAGGGTTGATGGTAAAATCTGTGCTGCTGGGACCAGAATGCAACTCTGATGTTTCTATTTGACCTATGAATAAGTAAGTATAAATTACAAATAAGTTATGAATTTAGATATATGTGTTCGGAAAGCTAGAACTTGCAAGCTCCATGAAAAACAACAGCATCAACAACAACAAAAAAACCCAACTATCTGCTATCCTGTGTGTATATATGGTATAATTGTAAGACACCATTCTGAAGCGAGAATAGCCCCCAGGCACTTAAAATGTGAACTACTTAGCCTTTCAGAATCCACTACCTTTCATTTCGTAGTTTTGCTGACTAAATGGCGTTAGTGTTCTGTTTTAATGTATTTTTGCGAATTGTGTAACAACATATAATCATTGAAATAAATATTTCTAATATTGTTTATGATTTGCTTTATCAAACAATCTTTGCTTTGACAGATATATACACACATATGTATGATATATAAGCACAGATGAAAATGTTTATGTAGATATAGTTATGCACGTTTTTCCATAGTTGGAAAAGATAAATGGCAATACAATTTAAAAAAAGATAAAAAAGATAAATGTCTCTAACATTTTTGTGTCTAGTCAGAAAAGCAACCTAGAAAAATCCTATGAACTTTAAACATTTTTATTTCCCCTTAATTTCTATGGCCTGACAGCAAGGAAGGCTAAATCTTTACAGAACTAAATTTATTACAAAAATTTAAGCAGCTTTTTGAATTACCAAGACAAAATTATTTTAAATGTAATTTTATGTGAATTATTTGAATTGTTAAAAAATATTGATAGTCCAAATGTTATAAAACTTAAAAAAAAAAAACAAAAAAAACCCAACCAAATATTCCCACTTCATCTTGAAATATCTCTATCCTTAGGTTACTGTGATCCACTTATTTGGAAATCTCAATAGTCTTTTATATTTTGTTCTCTGAAACCATTGTATTTCCCAGCCATCCCAGGCAGGATTGGAAACAAATATAAATGAAGAAACATAACTTTAGGAATGTTCTGAAAGTTTCTCAGGGGACAAACCGTGTTTTTCTGACAGAAGGTGACAGCTACACAGCTTGCTGAGATGCCACAACGAAACCGTAAAGAGGAGCCTCTTTTGTACAGTTCTTCTCAACTCCCCACCCTTGGCATTTAGTACCCAGAAACTAATCAAACACTACTACTATCGAAAACGAAGGTCCTTGATCTTGATCTTAGCCATTATGACTGGTGTAGGATGGAATCTCAGAGTCGTTTTGATTTGCATTTCCCTGATGGCTAAGGATGTTGAGCATTTTCTTAAGTATCTTTTGAGATTCTTCTGTTGAGATCTGTACCCCATTTTTAAAATTGTATTATTTGGTATTTAATGTTTAGTTTCTTTAGTTCTTTATATATTTTAGTGCTGGAGAGGATGTGGAGTAAAGGGAACATTCCTTCATTGCTGGTGGAGGTGCAAACTTGTACAGCCACTTTGGAAATCAAAGTATGGCGGTTTCTCAGAAAATTGGGAATCAACCTACCTCAAGACCCAGAAATACTATTCTTGGGCATATACCCAAAGAATGCTCAATCATATTACAAGGACATTTGCTCAGTTGTGTTCATAGCAGCACTATTTGCAATAGTCAGAACCTGGAAACAAACTAGATGCCCCTCATCCAAAGAATGGATAAAGAAAATGTGATACATTTACACAATGGAGTACTATTCAGTGGTAAAAGACAATGGCATCTTGAAATTTGCAAGCAAATGGAGAATGGATAGAACTAAAAAGAACCATCCTGGATGAGGTAGCCAGATCCAGAAAGACAAAGATGGTATGTATGCACTAAGTGAATATTAGACATAAAGCAAAGGATAACCAGCCTACAATCCACAATCCCATAGAAGCTAGGTAACAAGAACCCTAAGAGAGATATACATGAATCCCCCTGGGAAGAGGAAATAGACAAGATTCTCTGAGAAAATTAGGAGCATGGGGGTGAGGGGAGAAGAGAGGGCAGAAGAAGAAGAGGCGGGGAGGATGGGGGGAGAGAACATGAGGGAACAGGATGATTCAGATGGGGGAAAGAGAGAGCAAGGGAAGAGATATCTTGTTTGAGGGAGTCATTATGAGGCTAGCCAGAAAACTGGCATGATTCTAGGACATCTTTCTCATTTGGCAGCTACATGGCATCTCTCTGACTCCACCTTCTTTCTCCCAGCATTCTGTTTAGTTTTCCCACCTAGCTCTATTCTGCCCTGTCACAGGTCAAGGCTGCTCCTTTATTAACCAACAATAATAAAACATATTCACAGCATACATTGGGGATCCCACATCATGGTGCAAGGGAAATTCTCAGGAATCCACAAGGATGACCCCAGCTAAGACCCTAAACAATGTGGAGAGGGTGCCTGAACTGGCCTTCCCCTCTAATCAGATTGATGACTACCTTCATTGTCATCATAGAACCTTCATCCAGCAACTGATGGAAGAAGATGCAGAAATCCACAGCAAGCATTGGACTGAGTTCTCAAAGTCCAGTTGAAGAGAGGGAGGAACAATAGTATGGATAAAGGAGTCAAGACCATGATAGAGATACTCACTGAACAGCTGACCTGAGCTAACCGGAGCTCACTGACTCTGAACTGATAGAAGGGGAACCAGCATAGGACCAAACTAGGCCCTCTGAATGTGGGTGACAGTTGTATGGCTGGGGCAGTCTGTGGGGCCACTGGCAGTGGGCCAGGATTTATTCCTAAGGCTTGTACTGGCTTTTTGGAGCCCATTCTCTTTGAAGGAATATCTTGCTTAGCTTAGATATAGTGTGGAAGGCCTTGGTCCTGCTTCACAGTGATGTGCTAGACTTTGTTGACTCCCCATAGGAAGCCTTACCCTCTCTGAAGAGTGGATGGGGAGGAAGAATGTAGAGGGGGTAGTGGAAACAGGGGAGGGAATGGGAACTGGGATTGGTATGTAAAATGAGAAAAGATTGTTTTTTTAAAAAATAAATTAATTAAAATAATTGAATCTACTGCAAATAAAGATGAAGCATAAAAGGGTTTTAGATGCGAAGTAGGGGAGGCGGCGGGGTAGGAAGGTCCTCCAACCGGTACTCGGAACTGGTGGTTGAGTTATAAACCCCTCTGATAAATGCAATCGTTATAGTTGATGAAGTCACGAAAGTGAAATGAATCTGGAAAAAGTGAATATTTTGCAATCAAGAAAAGCCACTAAGAATCAGGGGGAAGAAAGAAGTTAGAAGAAGGAAGAGGAGCGGAGGAGAAAAAGTAATCTATAGGTTTTCAGGGTAAATGCAGTAGATAAAGGACATCGGAAGGGTTTTGCTTTTTTTTTCCTTCTATCTTATTGGTCTTGCTATTTATTACTTACTGTGAGTAGAAACAGTCTTCAGGCTGGGACCATCAGCTCTGTAGCTTCTTTTTCTTAAGAAATTCCTTTACTCACCTTCCATGGGAGTGTTGCTGTCTGGACGGTTTGCGAAGACCACGTCCACATATTCCAGCTGCAGCCTCTGGAGGGAGCCTTTGAGTCCTAGAGACAGAAGCAGAAAACAGAAGAAAACATAGCAAACGGCCCAAGAAGTTCAGATGGGAACACTATTAGGACGGGATGGAGTTTGATTTCTTTCAAGAATTTACTTAAAAACAAACCCTGAATTAGTTACAAAAAATCTCTGAAAAGGGCATAGTGAGACCGTAGTAACTACCCACAGAAACGGCAATCAGCGTTATTTACAGAAGAACAACTGTGGCAAGAATTAAGGAAACCAGATGAGAGACCTGGTTTTTAGTATAATACTGGAAAAATGGTTGAGAAAACTGGAAAGGAATGCTCAAGTCCAAGAATCAAACACCCTAGAACAGTGGTTTTCAAGTTTCCTAACGCTGCCACCCTTGAATACAGTCCCTCAGGTTGTGGTGACTCTCAATCATAAAATTATTTTTGTTGTTACTTCATAACTGTAATTTTGCTACTGTTAGGAACCTAAGCTAGGGATGCTATCTTTCACAAATAAAACAGCAGCATTGGTTTTGGAGTTCCTGGTACTCGTGCTGGCCAGTGTTGGAACAGTGGCAAGGATCGCAGACTCCAGAGCAAACAGCCTGCTTGGAATTCCTGGAAGGCCAGGCACAGTTAAAGCCAAACAGTGAAGCAGGTGTCAATGCCGGATATTTCAACACATAGATGCTATCAGATACTAACAAGCATCAAGAGCTTCTAGGGAACTGTGAGGCGCCAGAGCTGATGATGAGGTGATATGTTTATGTGTGACCTTAGACAAGAATTCTAAACAACGGAAATTTAATAAATTTCAAGAAAATCCAGAGAAGCTGGGCATGGTGGCACATGCCTGTAATCCCAGCACTAGAGATATGGAGGCAGGAGGATTGCAACTTAGAGGCCAGTCTGAGTTACATAAGCAGATCCTGTTCAGTGAAATACGCAGCAAAGTGGGAAAGATAGTCTCCCTCAGGAAAGAGCAAGCTGACTGGGTATCCAATACCAAATGGTTGGCTCTGAAAACACACACACAAGTAATGCTATATAGGTTGTATTTATGAATGAGAACAAGTATATACATATGTGTGTATGTATACGTATGTAAGTAAAAATGAATAATAAAAATAGAGGCCATGATTGTGAAGGAGAGGAAGGAGGAACACGGGGGAAGGTTTGAAGGGAAAAAAGGGAAGGAGGAAATGATACAATTATGATCTCAAAAGATAAAAGAAATGTATTTTTTCAAAGCCCAAAATGGTCAGGAGTGGCAAAAGTTTTGGAGATAACTTACTGAAATATATTCCTTTAAAACACAAGAGAATCCCATTGGCGGTGATGCATGCCTTTCACTCCTGCACTCAAGAGCTACAGATACAGTTACAAGGCCAGCCTGGTCTACAGAGTGAGTTCCAGGACAGCCAGGGCTACACAGAGAAACCCTGTCTCAGAAAACAGAAACTAAACCCAAAATAAAAACACAAGAGAAACAATTCAGTAATCATCAGATACCCTTACTACAGAAAGCAAAGAAAATGACAGCATCCATTTAAAAAAATGAAACAAATCCTGAAGCTGGAAAGCACAGTAAATGAAATGAAAACGGAACTGACGACATCCATAGCAGAGTCAATGTAATAGAAGATCCAGCCGACGCCAAGACAATATCTGAGAGGTACGGTTGAAGGGGCATGAGGAATGCTCATAGGAGCTTAAGAACATCATTAAAAGAATAGATATTCAGTTTTGGGGCATTAACAAGTACTTCAGAATCCTCGAGTTAAACATTTGTTAAAAGTAGCAAGAGGCTGTGGAGATGGATCCACAGCTAAGGCTTTTTCTGCTCATCCAGGGAGCTCCAGGTTAGTTCCCAGGACAGTTGGGTGACGCACAATGGCCTGTAACTCTAGCTCTCAACTGGCTTTGAGCACACCCTGCACAGACATGTGGCATCTACTCACACAGACATAAATACATACACGTAAACTAAAAAGAGATGCAAAGAAGTTTATAAAAGATTTAATAGCACGAACAGTGTTGCATGAGCTGAGGAAAAGTGACGCTCCAGTGCTCAGGCCTAACGAGGATATCTACACCATCTTATTGATTCTCAAGGGTCATTGTAGAAAGAGGGGCCAGCAAGAATGTAAGAGCCCGAAAGACTGTGAAATGGTCATCTCTGGGTAGGACACAGTCCGTGTCACCATGATTTCACAGCAGCTGTGGCTCTCTCCACCGGACTTGTATAAGACTGGACTTGACGTCAGTCAAACACCCATGAGAGAGAAGCTCGTGGGCCCTACCCCTCCCTGCTGAACTATTGGCTACTGGAGGACTCTGGGGAATGCTCAGTTGTTATATTTAGTTGTATACCCATGTGTGACTCCCAATGATCAGTTCCAAGCTCATGATCACACGACAGCCCTGTTTAAACTCGAGTTGTCACAAAACAAAACAAAAGCATATGAATATAAGAAAGAGCCTTGGAGTGAAGAGGGGGGATTGGCAGGACTGAGAGGATGATGGGAAAGAAGGAAGAGGGGAGACAGGAAGAGAGAGTAAAAAGAAGGGTGGGAGGAGGGGGAAGGAAATGGGAGGCTGGGAGAAGGCGGAAACTTTTTTTTTCTTTTTCTCAATAAAAAATTAAAAAAAGAAATTGATGATTATTGAGGAACACAAATAATTTAATACATTGTGACTGGGAAGTACAAAAAGGCATCTGATCTATACTATGGCATCTGGGAAGGATGGTTTTTAGTATTAAAGATCAGGTGATCAGGAGTAAAAAATCAACTATATGCGCATTTATATTTTGGCAAAGAGAATCCTCTGTATGCTCATACCAAAGACTGTAAATAAAGGTAAGAAACTTGAAAAAAAAAAGAATGTATTTTGCACACGTATAAAATTGACAACGCATTTAATAAAATGTATAGTAAAAACTAATTCTATAGGAATAAACACTATTTACATATACATAATGCAGGAAAATATTTGCCCACTATCCATCTGATTAAGGATATCAAGAATATTGAAGAAACTCAGTAGCAAATTGGTGTACAAGGTCCTTCTTTCTATGTGTTGCCTGTATTGGTTAATGAATAAAGAAACTGCTTTTGTCTGATAGGCCAGAACTTAGGTAGGTGGAGAAGACAGAACTGAATTCTGGGAGGAAGAAAGCAGAGTGAGAGAAGCCATGGATCCTCTGCCTGAGACAGACGCCAGTTTAGAATCTTTTCCTATAAGCCACTGCCACATAGCAATATACAAATTAATAGAAATGTGTTAAATTAAGATGCAAAAATTAGCCAATAAGAAACTAGAGCTAATGGGCCAAGCACTGTTTTAATGAATACAGTTTCTGTGTGGTTATTTCGGGTGTAAGCTAACGGGGCGGCCGGGACAAACAAGCGGCCTCCTCCTTGCAACAGCAAATCATTATGAACATTACCACCATCATCATCATCATCATCATGATTCAGTTATGAAGTGGGTAATGAGCTGAAATTCACAGTTCTTAAAATAAATGAAGAAAATGTGGTATTTCTACATAAGCATATTTTATATGTTCATGCATTAATATGCAATAGTCAGTCATTAAGAAGGGTATATCTCATTATTTATGACAACATGGATGGAAAGAAAAACATTATTCTAAGTTAAAAAGCAGTTACAAGAAAATGAATACCAAATGGTCTCCCTTATATGAAGAATTAAAAACATCGTGTGGGGGCCTGGAGAGAAGCTCAGCAGTTGGAAGCCCAGGGTCCTCTTTAAGTTTGGTTCCTAACGCCCACGTGGCAGTTCATAGTTGTCTGCGTCTCCACTTCCAGGGGGACCTGATGACATCTCCCAGTTTCCTTGGACACTACAGGCACATAGTGCACAGATATACATCCAGACAAAGTGCTCCTACACACAAAGTAAAAATACATCTACACAACGAGTGGAGCAACCTTTATCAGATGCTGGATGTGGGAAGCAGTGAGGAAGAAGAGATGGGGAAAGGTTGGGTACCAGATGGATGCTAAGCTGAATATATAGAATAAATAAATTCTGCTCTGAGGTAGAGTAACACTCACAATAGCAATGTACTGTGTATTCCAAAAACAGATTAGAATCTGAATGTTTCTAACAAAAGAAGTGATTGATAGCTGAGACGAAAATTAGCCTAACTTTTTTTGTTTTTTGTTTTTCAAGACAAGCCCAGCTGTACTGAAATTCGCTTTGTAGACCAGGCTGGCCTTGAATTCACAGAGATTCCCCTGCTCCTGCCTCCTCAGTGCGGAGATTAAAGGTGTGCACCACCACGCCCAGCTGGATTTACTTATCTTGATTTAAATGTTATCCAATGTGTGCTCGCACAAGGTATTCCCCAATTATGTGCAATTTTTTTGATAAAAATTTTAATTGAGAATACAAAAAGTACACTGAATGCAATGATTAGTTACTCCCTGTAACCATTATATTATATTAAAGGCTGACTTTGTGTCAACAAAGAAAATCTCAGGCCTCTCTCAAGATGTCTCGAACTCTCCATGGGAACTCTGCAAACCTTCCACAGCGACACTTGTGGCCATCGCTGGAAGCCAAGTTTAAAATAAAAAGCAGTTTCTTTCCAAGATTCTCTTTGTTCCTTTGTATAAGTCAGGAATAAAAGACTGCTTTAATGCCACTAAATGAATGTATGTTTTAACAGCCACAAAAATAGGAGAGCAAATAAAGGCTGTTTAACACTTACTAATTCTATCAGAGTTTAGAAAATTTAAAAGATGTGGTCAAGCTACATCCTTTTAGTGATCCTTCCCTCTTTCTCCTGCGATGCTGGGTCTTAAACCCAGGACCCATGGATGCCAGGCAAGCAGTCTGGGACTCAATTATGTCTCCACTCATGGTTTCACTTTTCACTATGAGACAAGTTGCCCCGGCTGCCCTTGAACTTAAAGTCCTCGGCCTTAGTCCCTAGTGTTCTGGGATTACGTGCCTGTACCAATGGGTCCAGCTTCATTTTTCCTTTGTTTTGGAAAGAAACA